ATCCACATCACCTGTGTTTGTAACGGCATAGAACTATGTATATACACTCACTGTATAATTGTTGGATGGAGTAAAGCATCCTTCATCTTGCAACCCTAATATGTAAAAAAGAATGGACTGTGTATTGTCTGCATACATATCTGTGTGTATAGTATGATGTGGTGGTGTCCTGGCCAATCTTACCACTTGGGATCGCGACCATGCGAAATACATCTGCATCATTTTCAATTAGTTTAATTTTTCATTTAAATGAAATGGCAACTGATGATCGTTAACGTTGTTATTATTCATTGGCTATTAATATATAAGGTATATCATTTGGAACCTTATATTGGTATTTTGGGACCAAGGATTTTAATTGAATGTTGAAGGATAAGAAGTATTATACGCAGTTTTGACAGGGGAGACCATGACTAACCGTTTCTCAAAAACCCGGTGTCATGAACGTACCTTTCCTCTAATGCTTGGAGTTTGGTACATGATTGGTTAGAGAAAATATATACCTATTTTACTCATATAGTTAACGATATTTTTACGGTATTCATGCATTAGGAATATTAATTTGTAATATTTGTAATTGGGCGCGTAAAGATAGATTTGTATCTCAATGTGTATTGAATCTTGTAAGACCTATGTTATGTTGCAATACTGTGTTTATATTGATTCTACACATACATGCAATGCTTCTTGATCGGTTATAGAATTTCTATAACAATTTATATAACAATCCTTATGTAATGAGTATACATATTTCATTTGTTACATAACCATGTCCGAAAATGTATTCAATATACAATCTTTTGATAATAAGATCTTTTATAGGACTAGAATATAAGTAATATGCTGGCTGCTTTGACATAGTTTCTACATATGAATGAAAACAATACACACAGTAGTGAGGTTAGTTTTACAATCTCAGACCAAACATCTGTCTCCAAACACAATGAAAGAGATGCCTCTGTGTTTTCTCCATCCGTAATGTGTTTGGCATGATGTGGACAACTGGATTAGGAGATTTTCATACACTGACTTCATTTTGCACTTCTTTTGGTAATCAGGAAGGACTGCTGTTCCCACCGTCTTTTGTCCGCATCTAACAGCAAATTACATTGAATAACCATGACTGTAACCAATTCCGTGGTTTGTTTTTCATGTGTTACTTGTTTCATGAGGGCTGAAACAACGAAAAAACGGAACAAATTCTTGAAACCAATCGGAATGTATTAGCTTATTTTCATTTGCTTTAAAATTAACTCGAACCAAATAAAATTATAACCGTGGATAAGGGAATGTTAACGAAAAGAATTACAGCAGTAATTGTGTGATATTGAATGTTATTTAATTACCATGACGAATAGTGTTTCACTGATTTTTAAACTTTTAAATGTGATATAATACTGCAAAGATTTGATTATTTTCGTCTGTGCGCTGTGGCAACATTCCTCGAAATCAAATTCTGTGGGAATCAAATCATGACTTGATTAAAACTTCAAACCATTGTAGTATGTCTATATGACCTATGTCTGTGTATTTAACTTTAGTTAAGAACCGGTGCTACTTTGAAGAGTGATATTATTCTTATGATCATGTGACCTTTTAAACCAAAAACATCTGTGTACCTCCAATATGTTTGAACAATTATTAAATCAATTCCAACTCACTAGAGCCCACAATATGATTACAAATATATTTGATTAGTGTGCGGCATCATTCACAAATGTTACGCTTCAGTGACAAAAATGATGTCCTGCGCAATTATTTTTTTTAAGACGGCTACCAAAAGTATGTTCCCGTGTCTTTTTCATTTGGACAATTGACTTACCTTTTCATGTGTTTGTGACCAGCGTTATAGGTGGGACAGGCTATGCCCACCCTTTCTCGAATGCCTGGTATCAGCTCATTTTGATAGTGATTCAAAAACTATCGTGATATACCGTATTTCCTCTAATAAGTGCCGTGAAGCTTAATAAATTAGCTCTCAGACCAGGTGCTTAAAAGGGGCCGGCGCTTGTTGGAGACACGGCGCTTAATAGAGAAAGTACTCTAGTCGGATAAGTAACTCTTCTTTTAGAAACGGTTTTATATGCATGTACATGTATATGGAAAGGGCTATGTTGCTTTGATTAATTGATAGTATAATGATGTGACAGTACATCTGAACTATCATTGTAGTTTCATATATTTTATGTTAATTGACATGTGTTAGGTTAAATCAAAGCGTATTAATGTGCATTCATTGCGAATATAACCTACGTATTTGCTTGCAATACGAATGAACGAAACTAATATTTGTGACTTGTGTTGAAAATGAACTGGACAATCATTGATTAGTCACTTAATAAACTTTCAGAATGAATGCTGTTGCTTGATTTTTTCGTACAAAAGACACGTCTACGTGACTCAGTTCAGAGTGCGGCGTAAAACTAAACTCACTCAGTTCAGTTATATCCGGAATGGTTATAAGCGAGTGGTATGACATGGGTTTGTATTCTAGCGCCCACGTCAACATATGCAGAATCCCCTTTCCTGTCTAACGTAAAAGTGGCTCAGATCTCATAGCCATGATTCGCAAGCATAAGAACACATGTCACCAAGTGAAATGTTGTTTAGCTAACATATAAGCCGCACATAAACATAAATCATACATTTCCCTCACAACAAGCAGCAAATACTCCACTAGTACTGCATAAATGGGATGGATCTGTTCCAGTGAACAATTGACTTGGTCGTGCATGTGTTTGTAACCGGTGTCACCGTTTGGACCGGATATGTTAATTTTTCGCGAGCACCTGTTGTCACTGTTCAGTAGTGATTCATAAGTACAAATGATGAATTCTATAGGGGTCTCTGTCTTTAAGCATGAGATGTTTCCTATGATAATGGAACGATGTTTTTTATTTCATTAAGGGTTTGGTGCTGATAAATATAGTTTTGTCGCTTTTGTTTACAAGCTGAGTAGTCTTCCTATCATGTACACAACTACCCGGATAAAAACGAAAGTAAAATTACCTTTGCAAAACTAATATGCGAGTACTTCTTTATTTTCAATGTCTTAAAACCCCTGTAAGTACACGTGGCTTCGTGTATGAGATAAGCTTAGGCCATTCTACAATGCGTTTAAAGTAGCTTTAATCAGGCAATTTAGCCGCTATTGTTTTTGTGAAATAACAAAATCGATGTGGGTATCTTTTGCATTACACGGATTATCTTCCAATTTTGGATAAACTAGATTCTTATCGATCTGTTGTTGAAAGATATCCTGGAATTGCCTCTCTTGTTTTAGTTATTCAAAGCGTTGATCTGTTTGGTTAAAAGTACTGGCAGTCTTTATTGCCACTTGGGAATGGAGAATAATCAAGCTGAGGAGTATTGTTCTGAACATTGTATTATTATTCCATAGTTATTGGTACTGGAACTATACCAGCAACTGCCAGTATGATACCGTTGTACAAAATCTCTGTATCCACTGTATTTCAAGTATACAGGAGATTGCAGTAAAATATTCCCTGATCTCATCATTGATGGAGTGCGCAATGAAAGAGGACGAACACCGGGTACCATACTGTTGTGTCAGTAGTGAGCAATGACAGTAAACGAACACCGGGTACCATACTGTTGTGTCAGGAGTGTGCAATGACGGTAGACGAACACCGGGTACCATACTGTTGTGTCAGTAGTGTGCAATGACAGTAGACGAACACCTGGTGCCATACTGTTGTGTCAGTAGTGTGCAATGACAGTAGACGAACACCTGGTGCCATACTGTTGTGTCAGTAGTGTGCAATGACAGTAGACGAACACCCGGTGCCATACTGTTGTGTCAGTAGTGTGCAATGACAGTAGACGAACACCTGGTACGATACTGAACACCTGGTACCATACTGTTGTGTCAGTAGTGTGCAATGACAGTAGACGAACACCTGGTGCCATACTGTTGTGTCAGTAGTGTGCAATGACAGTAGACGAACACCTGGTGCCATACTGTTGTGTCAGTAGTGTGCAATGACAGTAGACGAACACCTGGTACCATACTGTTGTGTCAGTAGTGTGCAATGACAGTAGACGAACACCTGGTGCCATACTGTTGTGTCATTAGTGTGCAATGACAGTAGACGAACACCTGGTACCATACTGTTGTGTCAGTAGTGTGCAATGACAGTAGACGAACACCTGGTACCATACTGTTGTGTCAGTAGTGTGCAATGACAGTAGACGAACACCTGGTACCATACTGTTGTGTCAGTAGTGTGCAATGACAGTAGACGAACACCTGGTACCATACTGTTGTGTCATTAGTGTGCAATGACAGTAGACGAACACCTGGTACCATACTGTTGTGTCAGTAGTGTGCAATGACAGTAGACGAACACCTGGTACCATACTGTTGTGTCAGTAGTGTGCAATGACAGTAGACGAACACCTGGTACCAGTACTGTTGTGTGGTACAGTTGTGTGTGCAATGACAGTAGACGAACCTGGTACCATACTGTTGTGTCAGTAGTGTGCAATGACAGTAGACGAACACCGGGTACCATACTGTTGTGTCAGCAGTGTGCAATGACAGTAGACGAACACCGGGTACCATACTGTTGTGTCAGTAGTGTGCAATGACAGAAGACGAACACCTGGTACCATACTGTTGTGTCAGTAGTGTGCAATGACAGTAGGCGAACACCTGGTACCATACGGTTAGTCAGCAGTGTGCAATGACAGAAGACGAACACCTGGTGCCATACTGTTGTGTCAGTAGTGTGCAATGACAGTAGACGAACACCTGGTACCATACTGTTGTGTCAGTAGTGTGCAATGACAGTAGACGAACACCTGGTGCCATACTGTTGTGTCAGTAGTGTGCAATGACAGTAGACGAACACCTGGTACCTTACTGTTGTGTAGTTTTAACTAAGACGGGTTACATAGAATATTATCTGGTACAGGGGTTCCTTGTCAATAAATCATTAGTATACACATTGGCCTTATTGCTCATCTTTTTTTTCCAGGAACAACAACTGTTTTGACCATGACGATTTGTGGAATCGAAAACAAGACAGATTTCCCTAAGATATCCTATATCACGGCCCTAGACATGTACGTGGCAGTGTGCTTTGCCTTTGTTTTGGCCACCATACTTGAGTTCGCATTTGTCCATTACTTTACCAAATACGGCACCGGGGAACCCCTACTGTACGAGTCCACCGATGACGAAGATGCTGACAGTGTGTTCGATGAGGTAATTATTGATATACGTATTTATAGCTATCCTGAGCCAAAATTTTATCAGTTGGTCTCACAGAGAAACGTGCCTCAAATATATACCTGAGGTCCACCATCCACAAAACATCACTCACCCAATAGCCATCATCCATAAGCCATTATCCACGCAATAGCCATTATCTATCCAATAAACATTCTCCACCAACCAGAATTCAATAAACCATTGTCCACCCAATAACCATCACCAATAAACCATTATCCACCAACCATCACCCACCCAATAGCCATCACCCATAAACCATTACCCACCCAATAGCCATCATCCATAAACCATTATCCACCAACCATCACCCATAAACCATTACCCACCCAATAGCCATCATCCATAAACCATTACCCACCAACCATCACCCATAAACCATTACCCACCAACCATCACCCATAAACCATTACCCACCCAATAGCCATCATCCATAAACCATTACCCACCCAATAGCCATCATCCATAAACCATTACCCACCCAATAGCCATCATCCATAAACCATTACCCACCCAATAGCCATCATCCATAAACCATTACCCACCCAATAGCCATCATCCATAAACCATTACCCACCAAATAGCCATCATCCATAAACCATTACCCACCCAATAGCCATCATCCATAAACCATTACCCACCCAATAGCCATCATCCATAAACCATTACCCACCCAATAGCCATCATCCATAAACCATTACCCACCCAATAGCCATCATCCATAAACCATTACCCACCCAATAGGCATCATCCATAAACCATTACCCACCCAATAGCCATCATCCATAAACCATTACCCACCAACCATCACCCATAAACCATTACCCACCCAATAGCCATCATCCATAAACCATTACCCACCCAATAGCCATCATCCATAAACCATTACCCACCCAATAGCCATCATCCATAAACCATTACCCACCCATTCATCCATAAACCATTACCCACCCAATAGCCATCATCCATTAATCATTACCCACCCAATAGCCATCATCCATAAACCATTACCCACCCAATAGCCATCATCCATAAACCATTACCCACCCAATAGCCATCATCCATAAACCATTACCCACCCAATAGCCATCATCCATAAACCATTACCCACCAAATAGCCATCATCCATAAACCATTATCCACCAAATAGCCATCATGCACCCAATAACCTTTATCCACCCGATAACGTTGATCCACCAAATAGCCATTACCTACCAATAACCTATATACACCCGATAATCGTTATCCTCTCAATAGCCACCACCAACCAACCACCACCATCCACTTCAATCCGACTTCTATTAATCCGCCCTATTATTATTCACGTTTCCACCGATAATCTATCCATCTATCCACATTACCGCCATTTACCATCCCTGATGCCATCATTATTCATCACTCATCTATCATTCATCGACAATTTTCCGCCCCTCCCCCTTTACGTTATATCACTGCTTTTACCATCTAAAGGTATATATCTACCGTCCCGCATTGTCTGTCACGAACACGTCATAAATGCTATCTGTACAGCATTGATATACACGTGTTTCCCCATTTTCAACTCAACACGTAATTCTGCATTTGAAGTAATTCTACTTTTTTGCGTTTTCCTCGGGTTTTGGATGTTTTGAATACCCTTGTCAGCCTGATCAATTGGCGTGACACATAAAATGTCCCATTGTCAGGTCTATCCATCCTTGTGTTTACATTTATGAACAAAGCCTCGTAAGCCTGAACGTTTTCATCGCAAATATCGATTGGGTGGATATTCTTCATATGATGTATCAGCTGTTTCCTGTAAGCGTTCCTTCATCTACAATGTGTGAAAAGTGTGTCTGACATTCGCCATAACGTAGCGGTGTTGTTTTCACCCTTCGCGAATGATACACTATTTTACGTTTGACAGGTTGATACAATCGTGTTTTTTCCCAAACATAAGTACCAATGAATTTACAAATAGGTCTCACTGACGAGCACGGTTTCTTTAAAACTAAAATCATGATTAAACTAATATTCATAGCCACAGCACTCAAATAAAGAGTTACAAACTGAAAAAGTAGTCTTGCTTTGATCAAATGTTATTACTTTATTCTTGGCATATAGAAACTAGAATTAAATTATATGGTCAAAAATATTGGAATGCCATGGGGATTCTGTTCACACCAATGACTCAAATGTACATATTAAGACGTCCTAACATCTCTTAAGGACTAGTGTTCTAATTATCCCAGTCTTGTTGTGCAGAATAATGCCCCTTGTTCGTGCCAGGATCCAATAATAGGTTCTAATCAGACGACCGTACATATCGTTTGCACCAGCGTTCTAAAGGTGTCCGGGCAACGACTCAAATACATATATTTTTTCTATATCAGTCCTTTTAGAGGAGAGAACTTTTACCTAAAGAGAGTCTTTTCAGGCAATACACAAAGGATAACTTTGGAAAACAATGATATCACAAATTTTCCTTGGGAGAACGGAAAATAAGCAGGACGTATACTCCAGAACCTCAGCAAAATCTTATGACCCTGTTTTATTTATATTATTACTGCTTTCAAAATTGTATATTGAGAAAACGATACATTGACCACTTTAACATTTCTGCACAGGAAATTCTTTAACAGATTAGATGAAAAGTTATAGGATTACATGAAGTCGATAATGGTTGGTAAATATACATAATTAACAAATCATAATTCGATTCTTCATGGGTACAATAGTAGAAATGTTCGAAATAAAAAAATATCATATCACACACACATACATACATACATACATACATACATACATACATACATACATACATACATACATACATACATACATACATACATACATACATACATACATGAAAGTCACCTTCCGTATGTATGTCTGTCTGTATGTATGGTGTATGTGTGTATGGTGTATGGTGTATGTGTGTATGTGTGTATGTGTGTATGGTGTATGTGTGTATGTGTGTATGGTGTATGTGTGTGTATGGTGTATGTGTGTATGTGTGTATGTGTGTATGGTGTATGTGTGTATGGTGTATGTGTGTGTAAACTAAATGGTATAACTTTAGTGGAGTATTTGCATCATCATTGGCCATACATACTCATACTATTCTTATGTATTACTCGCTTATCTCCTACTAGACTTTCGAAGAAGAACCAGAATGCCCTGACCTAGAATCTAATGGCCTGGATGGATCACACATGCCGAAGCCTGTGAAGGATGGTAACTTCGGGAGGAACGTGCTTGCCAAGGTGTGGGACTGCCTCCATTGTATCACCCACACAAAGGTGTACTATGGCTTTAAGAAAAAGGATATGACTGGTTTCATTAACAGTGTGAGCCAGATTGACAGGTCCTCAAGGGTCATATTTCCTGTGACGTTTTTGATCTTCAATGTGGTGTACTGGGTGTCTTATTGTCGATGGAAGGTGTAACGCGCAGAGACTCTTTAGCTGTGACGTTGTTGTCGAGATCACAGAAGACAAGCGGTGCATTCGGACAAAGCAGGAACGGATGGTTGATTAAATGTTTCTGACCCAATAAAGCCGCTGACGGGAACACGTGGCACATGAAGTGACTTCGCTAGAAGGAACAGGAAATTACCGGACCTGACCTACAAATGGTTTCATGTGGAAGCACCGAAAACCAACTGAGGAGGAGACAGACGTAGTTATATATAACATGGCAATGTACTTCGACAACAAACGTGTAAACGAAACAGAAAGTGCTCATAATCAAACACTAGCTGTGCAATAATAACTTCAAATATTTCCATGTTAAAAGAACGACGAATATGTGAAAATATGTTTTATAACCTACACGGCAATATAAAGTGAGCCCTCGAAAAAGTTTCCGTTGGGCGAAAAAAGAAATAAATGTGTCAAATATGTATGAATGAATCACTGGAAATCAGTGATGACACCAGGTGTTCAAACGGTCCTTTTTTCGGATTGAAGTAGCTGAGATGTATATACGAGTAAGTTGTACGTGTGTTTCAAGATTTATATTTCATATATTGTCCATGTCTCACATGCCTCGCAAATGGATATCAGTATATATCCTATTCCTATTTGCAAATTCCTAGTTGATGAACACATTTCAATATTGTATAATCTATAAACTCGTTTAATCTAATTCTTCCTTTTATAACCACATTGTTTCTTTCGGAGAATCCTCTATCATAAATATATGGCAGTCTTGAAAAGCAATATTTCATGTTTGTGATTGTGAGAGATGAATATATGGATATATTAATATTCTGGTTTCTTTTTTAGGATGACGAGTAGGTTTAGATTAGAATGTTCTTCATTGTGAATATGTAACATGTCCTGTTAGGCATTCCACTGTATTTGAACAACTGAGCGAGAAAATGTTTTAACATGATACGTTCATGCATGTTTTTGTGTATGTTAAGAATGCATCCGTGTATTTATTAAACATGCCACTGAAGAGTGTCTTCGTTATGGATTTCTAATATTTCTTTACACTTATTGTCAATGTTGAAGTATGATATAAATCCACATGCATAATTCAAATTTGGACTGTTTATCTTCGTCAGCTTCTCATGTTACCACTGTTTGTATGTACTTAAAACCAGTTGGACCACACCGATCGCGACTTGGTAATTTTTGAAAATCAATTGCACACTGGACGTTTTTAAGGGTTTTCGCATTAATTGATTGGCGTGTTTTAAAGAGTGTTTTCAACAATCTGATAGGTTGAAAAAACTTGATTAAGTGGGATTCGAAGTTCGGAAACCTCCTGGTCCATTCACTGCGTATGATTACGTTCTGGATAAGTAGTTTTTTTCTTCTTAATCCCAATTTTGAAACGCTTGGTCATTCGGCTTGGTTGATCAATATTTATCAGAAAAAAGCAATTTAGCAGTTTTTCCCAACATTCAGCCAACCAGGCGGGTTCGTCATCACAGACAATATCCCACTGTATTTGTGACGTCATCACTTATCAGATCGACGTCATAACGTTCGAAAACGCCTGTCAGTAAACTGTGAGAGTTCATGTGTAGAGAAAGTGGTTTACATTTGAAATGAAAGGATCCACTCATGTTGCATGGTGGCTACACATGAACCAGGCAAGAAATGGTTATTGATGTATTCGGTATCATAGACATTAGTTAACAGAGACTGTTTTCAGCCCACTATCTTCTGATAACGTTTGTAAGATTTTGGAAAAATCTCATTTTCAATTTAATACTTTCTTTTCCTTTCAATTTATTTCAAAACGTCAACAGTATGTAACATCATGTTTTTATTTCAGATATACTGTTTCTTGCTGAGAAATCTATGTCCAGAAAGATCTTTATCGTCTTATACGAAACTGTTCAGTACAAACTCATATATATGTTTGATGTATGGAGATCCCATCTGTGACTCCTTATTTTCAGAGGAGACAAGAACATCACATTGTCGTTTACATAAACCTGTTTGATCTCTTGGCACAACTATTCTTTTGTGTGGACATATGAAGAAAATGCTTCTTACTGTATTGTGTAACGCGACAATTGGTATTTTATATGTTGCTTTTGAATGATCGATCACGCTACTGTCAACTCATCTGACGACCCATGAAGATCCGGGTTAGAAGTGGTCCCTTGCTTGTCGTAAGAGGCGACTAACGGGATCGGCTGGCCAGGCTTGCTGCCTTGGTTGGCACATGTCATGGTATCCCGATTGAATAGATCGATGCTCATGATGTTGATCACTGGATTGTCTGGTCCAGACTCGATTATTTAACCGCCGCCATATAGCTGGATTATTACCGAGTGCGGCGTTAAACAACAAACCAACCAACTACATCTGACGAGGAAATGAGTTGTGCAAAGCCTTTCTTGAAGTACAACATGCGACATAAAATACTTGGTTTATGCCATACAACACCTATGCTCATTATGAAAATATTGATAAACCTCATTCTGGCATTTTTTCTGAAAGTAAGGATTGAGAGTTGATGGTTTTGCCTTTGGTAACTGCTGTTTAATCGTTTGGGTTATGAAACTTCAAATTTGTTGAACAGATAGACAACTTTGGTGTACACCATATCAAGCAAGTGATAACTAACGGTGTTAGCATCTACACCGAAACGTCACATCTATTACGATAAAGAGCTGTCTTTCCATAAAAATAGTTGCTGCTCATCATGTCAGCTTCTAAATACCACTCAAGTTCAAATTTGTTTTTGTTCTGTGAATTTCATCATTTTTCTTCTGTGTGTCATGGTCCCGTGTTTTTCGTTCAATCGAATGTTAAACAAATAAATGTGTTTTATAATTTATTGTAGTTTAAATAGATTTATAAACCGTCAGATGTACAAAGTCTTGTATATGTGGTCCTCCATAAAAGTCTGTATATAAGACCAGTATTCCATTATGTTGGCTGGCCGCGAATAGCTGCTGAACTGCTGATGCGGCGTTTAGCAATATTCACTCACTTATTATGATTACAATCAATATTATTAGTTTCACATGTCGATATTTGAATTTTTGGCTTCGTGTGGTCTCAGTATTGTTCAATACGACCTGCAAATATCTCGTCTGGTACATTCCATTGGTTGCCGATGTGACGTCAACTCACTCACTCACTCACATTCCGCTAAATCCAGTCGGCAGTCTGGGATTAATCCACAGCAGCACACATGGCATCGCCACACCTCAGTACCACAGAGGTCAGATCAAATGAAAGCAACGCCTAATTACCTGTTCAGACCCTTAGGGGACCTGGGTTACAATAGGTCCTACACACTACAGGCAACTTAGTGGATCGGGAGGTCAGGTTCTCAGCTCATTCCATGTCACCATTCTTCGACTGGGCTAGTTGTTGCTAATATCACCAGTAAGCTGTCTCCTTTTCTTTGACTTTTTCATTACAGCAACCTTGAAATAAATGGAATACATTTGACATGCTTCATAGTCATCGTAGGTACCCTAGTCTACGTGGGATATCCGAAGTTCGAACACTGAGTTCGTTGAATCATCCTCGCTTATCTAGGGTATTATCAAGGTATATCAATTCGAAGACAAACAGTCCCATTGGGTGCTGAAGCCGTTCTGCTTCAGAGCATTTTGAGTAAAATAACTGAAATAATGGTCCAGTCATAGTACTGTCACGAGCGAGAGACATTATGTGCTAGACGTATGATAGGTGAGATCGAGAGTCACTTCCGAAATAAAACTATTGTGGAGATTGATCTAGGATATTGATCTTAATAACATAGATATATCATATTCCTTAAAATCTGTATTATTGCTATTATTATATATAGCCATATCCGGCTTAGTTTGTTTGGCGCTCTTCTTCCGTTTTATATACTTCTCTTCAAAACTTAGACTCACTTACACACTTTATGCGGCTGAATTTCACGAGGATCATGCATCAAATTGCTGAAAAACTATATGCAAATATCGTGCATGTGAACAGCTGCGTTGTGGTGTAAAGTTTTGTTAAGAATTCGCCCATTTTCACTGATTTTCATCATTTACTGAACTCATGAGAATAATCTTTTCAACGTTACGAATTAGTTTTACAATACATAAGTTCGTGTGTAAACAGTACCTTTAAACAACAGGGTATATTTTTGAGTTAATTTAGAACAGTTGCCTGAGGAAAGTGGCTATATTTACACTAGTGAGTCTAAACTTTTGATGAGAAGGATATTATAACATGAAACCAGACTTTTACTGATAATGACTGAGGATCCAAACCAACAATAATGTACGAGCATATCAAACTCGGGCATATATAAATAACTGGAGGACGAAACAAACGATGAATGATTAATACTGCAATAATTAGTGAATGCAGATGGCTCTGTATTATCCTCTGTCTGACTATTCTGAGGATTCGTGTTTTTCCCAGCACAACCCAAATAAAATATTATTATAAAACATCAGTGCAGTCCGATATCAGTCTTTTCCATATTCCGACACAGGTTTGTTGAAAGCAAATGCTCTATTGCAAACAACAAATAACTTCATGTTTGTTACATTTATAGAGACATTTCGATGTAAATTGTTTCACCGCTATCACTCTGTATGATTATTTCATAAGAACTACTCTAAAAAAAGCCAAAGTTGTGTTCGTACTGTGTTTTCATTCTTAAACGACGATGTTTTACTTGAAAATTAGTAGGTCTATTTAGTATACAACCTTCAATAAACAAACAATTAACGATTAAGAATGCCTGAAATCAACTAAGAGTTCGGATTACCAAAAGGATTAATTCATATTTGTTTCCTTAATTGATAGGTTGGTACACAGACTGAGTGAATTCACTGAGGTACATTCAACCATGGAACTGTCTAATCCGACATCTGTCTAACCCGACATTTCCCCACGGTCCCAAGCAGTGTCGGACTACACAGAGTTTACTGTGTGATACAACAAATAATGGCATTTCGTACAGATTACACGCAGTACATGTGTCATACACAAAATACCCTGCCTTGCTAGATCAATCATATTTGTTCGTCGTGTTCAATAAATAAAATGATCAGAACATATTGTGATTCTTGAGACATCGCCAACTACCTTCATCTCGAAGCTGCCTCGAGCTCCCATCTCATCTGTGCTGCAGGCTCCAGTGTTAAAGGGAACCGCTGTGAGAACTGTACGACAACACCGCTTGCTACAGCATGGTGCAATCGATTTGGCATCACAAGCAGCAAAACATGTTTGAGAAGGCAAGTGATCGAATCTTTTGTGTGGGACACAGGGACATAGAGTGGCGTTCACCTACACAGTGCTGGAGATGCACGATTGCATGGTCAGACAGTCGTAAAATGCGATATTTCATGCTTTGACACACCCGTAAGGTTTCGAACGGTTCTACAGGAAGACTTCTTGTATGCATTGGATCCCAGGGAAATTGTGTGATCATGGGCTTAGAAGAGGACTTGTAATTAAGTTATCGTTTATGCAGAAAAGGTCCAAGAGAATTATATAATTCGATCATAAGATACTGCTATTTGTGTTAGATAGGGTATATACGTATTTATTGCTCAGCAATAGATTGTAAATTCTGTTCTTAAGAAATGAGAAACATGTGGCGAGTGATATACAGAGAAACGAAAAGAATAGTAAATAATGCAACAAATTTGATCTGCGTTTTTTTTCACAAATAGTAATAAAAATTCTAGTTGGTGTTATTTCAGTTCTTGATCAACTGTTCGACTTTTCTATGAAAAATCCTGGTAATGGAAGAAGTGGCAGTAATTTGAACAGATTTGTTTAAGTGTCCACTGTTCATCATTGTTAATAATGACCTAGTTTAGAAATGAGGTCAAATCTCGGACAAACTACCCTGTTATATTTGTGGTATATTAATGAGAAGAAGAATATGTAAGAATTAAACATCAATAGTGACCAAGTAGTACTTCGGACGGTGATTACTCATAGTAGCGTTTGTGGGGTAATTCTATAGACAGAAGAACTATCCAGTTTGGTA